CAGCGCAGCTCGGTGCGGGAGCGCTTCTTCAGGCGCCCGTCCCTCTGGCGCGTGGCCGGCCCGCGGGGCAGCCTCGCCTCCCCCTTCCCAGCCAGCCCTGTCCTGTTCTCCGCGTCCTCCTGCGCCGAGTTCTGCTCCTGGGATTCCTCTTGGGTCAGGCCCAACCTGCGAGGCAAAAGTAAAAACCTGCTAAAAGCTAAAGCCCATCCCAAGTTCAGCGTTTGGTCTTTACCTCGCGGCCGCGCTGCCGCCGCCGCGCGCAGGAACAAAGCAGAGACTCAAAAGAACCTCGCTAGGTCAGCCTGCAGGGAGAGAACCTGCACACTTGCTATCCTGCAGGACTGTCCCAGGGAATGAGGATAAAAAATGTAAAGATTTGTGATGGAAAACAAGATTAACTTGTCTTGGAAACAGAATAGATGGGCTACAAAATCCTGCTGTGTCCCAGCCAATCCCGCTACGGATTTCCCTGGATTCACCCCACAACCTGGATTCTCCCAGAGTTTATGCTGCTGCTTCTTGGCTACCCCTGCAAGCACCAATACACTCTGCCAGCTGCATAAGCATAGACAAACAGGACAGATGAGGTAACATGTCTCACTTTTGTCCATAGTAGTCCTCAAAGAACTTCTCCTTCCACTGCTCCACTCTCTTTTCCTTTTCCATCTCCTGCCGAATTCGAACTTGCATCTCGTGGGTGAATTCACCTACATGGAAACGAGACTGGAATTCAGTTCCCAACAAAACTGACTCTGTAAATACAATCTTGTGTGTTTTAAGAGCACAGCAGCTGTATATTCAGAGGACAGATTTTCTGTCATTGCCCCACTCTCCACCCTGCTGTGGGTCCCCATGCTGCCTGCCACTCCGTAAGGGCAATGGTCACACAGCTTCAGGCAAGTTTGGAAAAAATCCCTGTTTTACCAGACACAGGCCACTGTTTAAGGGAAGATAAGTCTGGCACCACTCTACACCTCCACCACTTCTTTCTGAGGGTGCCACGGCACCGAAGGAAAGCATCTTTGATTTAAAGGAAAGAAAAAGAAAAGGTTGGGGCGACACAAGCATCTTTGATTTAAAGGAAAGAAAAGGTTGGGGCGACATAGGTGGATACACTGCAAAGCTGGGCTAAATGCCTGTTAACTGTAAAAGAAAACCAAAAATACCCATCAAACAGGTACCTATTCTCCAGCCACCCCTGCAGCAAGGCACTCACCATCAGCCAGTCGCTCCCTCCAGCTCTGCGCGGCGTGGGTGAAGAACTCGTTGTTCAGAGCACTGCCACTGAGACGCATCAGCCCATCTGCCCCCACCTGAGGGGACAAGCAGGGGACATCTCCAGCCCTGCTGCAAGCCAGGGGTGACGCAGGGAAGGGACAACAGCCCGAGCTGCACCCTCATACCTGTCTGTCAACTTCAGGAAGGAGGTAAAGCAGCTGCTGCTGGAAGTGCGACGGGAGCGCGTTGAAGGTTCTGGAGTTAATCAGAGCTCGCAGGTTGGTGTTGACCAGAATGGAACCAGGTGTTTCAAAGTCAATATCCTCACCCCGGTTTCGTTTCATTTGCCCTGTAGTTTAAAGAAAGGCAAATAAAAGAAATGAACACTGTGATATAAAAGTACTTCAGCATTACAGGTAGAGAGCTTCACATCAGACTACTACAGCAAAAGGAGCGAGATATATGAGGAAAGCCTGTGGCACTCAGGTATGAAGAAAGACTCTTCAAGCACACTAATTAATAGACGTGCATCTAGAATCTTGCTACAAGGTCACACTTCTGTCACACTCAGGTACAATTCTCAATGCTGCTCTTCAGAGCCAACAAACCTTTAAACAACTGCCTCTCTAACGTTCAGGTAGGGAGGTCTGGTTTGTGAGCCTCCAGATCATCACCTGCCTTCTGCAGGAATTGCACCTTGGTGTTTCCTCCAATATACACAGACCTCAACATTGCCAATTGCTTTTTTGGCCAATTACTCTTCTAACTTCAGTGAGCAGCACCTACCAGCAGCGGGCTTTCGGATACCTCTCAGAAGCTGTGGAGGGTCCCTGTTTATCTCTGTTCTGCTACGCAAGGTGGCTTTGCACAGGGCCAGAGAGCTGCTGCTGCTGCTGGACGTGCTACTGCTCTCCCCATCGGCGTGTCTTCCTGCAAAGCCTAAAATCAAAACAACTTCATAAAAACAGGCAAAGAACAGCACAACAGCAGAAGCCCAACTTGGAGAGCAGCTGAACACAGAAGAATTATCCGACAATAACAGACCCGCTGTTACAGGGTATTGCCAACTACTCTGATGGGTTTAAACACAACTCTACAGCCACGTGTGTTCTCATCGAGTGTTACAGAAGTCCTCAGGCAAACCTGCAGCTAACTGGGGTCTCCTGGCTAAGAGCTGCCTGTGCTGCCACCAGCAGCCCCAGGCCAAGGGCTGTGCTCACCAGAGGCAGACTCCATGTGTGCCCCGTTGACCTTCAGCGGCGTCAGGACGACACGTGGCAGCATCACACCCGTCTTCTTCTTCTGTTTGGTTGTCTGCAGCCCAGAGAGAAACCAAAAACAGAACAGAGGAACCAAGATATTACAGAGGGGTAAAACAGTCTTCTTAGCAGCACGTTCCCCAGTTAAAGAGCTACTCAGCTCTCTGGTAAACCTTCAGGTGTCGTTACACTTTTGACTAGCAGAGAATTCAAAATTACCATCCTGTACATGATCCTTGCCCATACTGCAAACCCCTCACCTAAGGAGGCAGCCCCATAACTCTGAGACCCCTCTGCAGAACTAGCCTGTCACGTTCACCCAACCATCACACAGTAATGAAAGCTCCCCCCAGAGGCTCCATGCCTCCCATCAGTCCCACTTCTCCCTACCTGGGAGGCGGTTCTGTAGCTCTCCCTGGTAGCAGCGGGTCCCTTGCTCTGCGGTTCAGTGGAACACGAGGCGTTAGAGGAGGTTTCATCAAGAGACACTGGAAGAGAAGGGCACTCAGTCAGAGCCAGAAGGAGATCCTCTGGTTTAAGAGGGAGGTTGTTGGACACTTACCATCGTTATCCCCACTCACAGTGCTCGCCTCGTTGGACTCGCAGCTCTCTGCGTCTGCTGTGTCCTCCAGCTCCTCCCCTTCTGGCACTGACAGATTCCGAGACCACTGCAAGGCGTCCTTCTACACGGGCAAACAGAACTGGGGTGGCTACAGTCCTCCCTCTGCCACCATGGCTCCAACCAACGAGAACAGATGGTTTAGGGGACATTGTTTTTAAGACTGATTTTCTTTTTTCACCTTCCCTGTTTTAATCCTTGGACGCAGAAAGATATTTTAAAGTACATTTGGTCTTGTGGTGGAAAAGAAGTCATCTGAACTACCAGCACACGTCACAGACACCTCCCAGACAAGTAACTCAGCCAAAATGCATAAGGTTAATGAATGGTCACACTTCTGCAAGCAGTTTCTAGTAAAAAGAAGTATCTCATTCTTACTGTGAAAGAACAGCCAGCATCAGAGTAGCCAGATACTGAGCCAGTAAGCTTAAAAGATGTATTTACTACTTGCATAATCAAAACCACTTCAATTCCATCTGTTTTCAGCAAAATATGGCAGTTCAACAAAATTTTCTGACAGCAGGAAAGAAGATGCAAATGAAATAGCTGAGATTCTTGTTGTCCATCAAACTGGTATTTATCAGGGAATCCAACAGCACACAACAATGCAAAAGAGAAGCCTAAGACCAGAAACATTTTCAACATTTAAGATTACTGGGACAATAAACTAAAGAACATTCCAGAGACACCTCAAGATCTCAGGGAAAAATGGTGATCCTAAATACACAAAGAATGCAGTGGAAGGCAAAACAACCGACCAGAAGAATGAATATATGTCTTCCTGTCAAGATTCTACTTGCAGCTACAGGCTCTGGACCAGGTTAATTTGCTGGTTGGCCGTGTTCCCTGGAGGCTGGCAGGAAAGGAGCAGGGGGGACTGCACCGATAAGCAGCCACCTGACCTGGACACCAAGTACTGGAATAAGAGGATCTGTTTCGCTTGTGTGATTCAAAAATCATAGGTGTTTTTTAAAAGGAATTCACCATGCATGGCTGAGCAGGGCCCTGACCAAACACTGAACTCCAGATGCTGGTTCACACGAGGCTCCGGCGTGCCGCACGCGCAGCTCCCGCGGGGCTGGGGGCCGGTCTGGCCCCCAGGGATGCCCAGGGAGCTGGGCTCACACCTCAGCCCTCAGCTGGGGCAGGAGCTGGGCACTCACCTTCAGCGTGAAGAGGCTGATGCGCCCAGGCAGCTTGTAGAAGAGCCCGTCGCCTCCCCGGGAGTTGGAGTGCAGCATGGCGTTGAGGCAGGCGAGGGGCGACGTGCCGCTGGAACAGACAACAGCTGTAAGGGGCAGCACTCCAGGGCACAGCCCCGAGGGGCCCGTTCAGCAGCACCCCTCGGCTGCCAGGGGGCAGGGAGGAGGCCCAATGGGATGGGTGCTGCAGCCAGAGCTGGGGCTGCTGTCCCTTCTGACCCTCACATCGGCCCCCACGCCACAGCGAACCCTCGGCCGAAAACAGGAAACCTTACACCAGTTTTAGAGTTACCCTCAGCTGTTTTTAGACCTTTCTAACTATTACCTGCTTCCTCCCTTTCTCTGCTTGTGACTTTCAGAGCTGGATTGGTTTTACAAAAACCCCAGATTTATTCAGTGGTGAAAAGGTGTAAACAAAACCAACATTAAGTCGCACGTGGGCGTGCTCCTGGAAGGTCTCCCTGACATGTCACAGACCCTGCACTGGCAGAGTCAGATCAGAAAAGGCTGAAGCACCCATCTGTCCAGTCCCACGTAACTCCCTGGTTCAAGCAACCATCCTACGCTGCTCTGAGGGAACTTCTGTGCCACGTAACCTCGTGTTTTCCACCAAGTCCCAAACGTACTGGCAGAAAGTTACCTGGGGGAGACATTAAAGCAGAATCAATTTCATTATTAAAAGTGAAACTGAAAACTGGATCTAGACAAAAATATTTCAAAGAAAATCATCCTCAAATCGAAAACTGAAACCAGTTTCTGTTTCCAGCCTGAATGCACTTGGGTTTTGGACGTTACTTCACGAGCCTGAGCGTAAGACAAAATTACCCTGTATCAATTTCAGATACTAAAAAATTTCCAGCCCTCTGTCAAGTGTTTTCCCTTCAGTGTTGAACCAAGTGCTCCAAGCACGCTAGCCAGCTGCAGAGCACCCCTCCTCAGAATGGCAAAATAAACAGTTTTCCCCAAAATGAGTAAAAAAAGATAATCCCAAAGAGTTAAAACTCTGCTGGGAGCTAGAACTCAGCAATGGTGCTGGGCCTGAGCGCCCTGGCTCAAGCATCATCCATGCAGGACCACCAGTGTCCCCCACACAGAACCTGGCCCTGCCAGCAGACCAGCACGGCCCCCAGACCAGGGAATTCAGCATTGATTCAAAGAGAAAAACATCTCAAGCCACCCAGCTATTTCCTTCAGGAAATGGAGTCTCAGGAAGGGCTCCTGTGCAAGCCCCTGGTGTGTTTGGCCAGGCAGGATCCCTGCCTGTATCCTGTGAACAGTCACACTCCAAAGAAACCAGTTTTCTCTTAAAGCTACTGCCTGGCAGAGGACAGCCTCTGCAACACCTCCTGTACCTGCTGCAGGACTGATGGAAGGAGGTGCAGGGTACTGGTTAAAGCCAAGCTACCTGAAGGTCCTCGTTAAAAGGCAGCCTGAACTCTGCTCAGAGCTGTGAGCCCATGGCCTGTGCCCCAACCAGGGATGACCCCCCCAGCAGGGACACCAGCAGCTGATCCCTGGGGGCTGGAACAGCTCCAGTGTCAGTGCAGCTCCAAACGGCCAGTCCCACAGCACCACCTCTGCAGGAATCACTGGTTTCCACAACTCAAACCACCCCAGCTCCTTCCCCATTTCACACACAAAGGAGGAGCAGGGACAAGCTGCATTTCGAGTCGTTAGCCCCCAGAAGTGAATTTATTGCCTTCAGTAGTTGGGTAAAGTGCAGGTTCAGGAAACATGAGAAACACAGTGGAAAACAGGACCCAGGATCAAGGTGAGGGGCAGCAAGACCAGGAACCATGCATCTGATTCCCCACAGGGCAATCAACAGGCAGCAGCCAGGGGCTCCAGCTGCCTTTGGTAGCCAAACTTGCTTTTTTTGCCAGGCAGCACTAGCCAAGGCACCTGCACTATCAGTTACCTACTTGCTTTGGTCTGCAAGACCCTGTTTCTTCTCTACTGCTGTCACAGAAACAGAGGGAAGTTCCCAGGAACTCAACCAAGGAGAACAGTCTCCTGCTCCTGCCACTTCCAAGGCTCCACATCAGGCTCCTTCCCACAGGAAACCCCCATGGGGATGGGCTTCTCCTCCAGATGTTGTCAAGAGCCACAACAGCCTGAGCTGCACTCTCAGTGCTTGGAAATCTGAGCAGAAGCCAGTGTAGTAACATAAAATAAAGATGACACTTTTTAGTCTCCAAAAACGTAATGTCTGCTCCAGAAATGACACATCAGAGGAGACAAAACTTAAACTGTTCTCCAACTAGAGTCACAATAGCAGAAACTACTGGGAGCTACTTAGGAGAGAACCAGACAGCTAAGTGGCAAGTACCACACAATGCAGGAGCCTGACCTGCAGTAGGCATTGATTTTACAATAGAGGGATGATGAGGACTCTGTGCTATCAAAAAATCCAGGAGCAGCTTCCAGTTATTGTCAAAGAAAAAAAAACCCCACAAACTGTATATAAATGTCTCTACACTGTCATCTGAAATTACCCTGCTGGAAAGAGAAAAAAGGAGGGAGGAAAGTGGGCTGGAGAGGAGGCAGGACTGCATGAAACAGCACAAGCCTCACAGGCAGCCTCCCCCCTGCTCCACGCTACCTTATAGAGGAGATCATCAATACTAACCTCATTTCCTTCAGTCCTTCAGCCTCTATGACCTGCAGAATCTGTTTTGGGGTCATAGGAGCATCCGAGTAATTTTCCAGCACCTGAAAGGACAGGAAGAACATGTGTCACTACAGCACCTGCTCCTGCCCCCACAGGACTACACACGCTGTGGACAGGTCCAACAACACCCCTCCTAAAACTGTATCCACCCACAAAAGACAAACACTAAAAATGTCAGGCTACCTCAAGATGAGCTCAGGGTAAGCCACCACAGAAAGCTTCCCCTAGCCTGGACCCTAATTAACTGAAATATGAACATAAAGGAGAGAAAAGGCAGCAGAATGTGGCCTTGGCTCCACAGTGTGAAACCAGTGGCAGCTTCCCCACAGACTTCACTACACACCAGGCTGAGCTGCTGCCACATGGCACCTTCCACCCTGTGCAGCAGAGTGACCCCCAGTGATGCAAACCCCTGCACCCCTCTGCCTCTCCCCAGGGCAGCTGGCATCCTTCAAAGAATAAAAGTACCACTGCACAGCTGCACAGTTTGCCACCCTACCTGCCCTGGATCACTGCCCTCAGCTCTTTGCTCCATCTCAAGAAGGGTAACAGGGGTAAGAGCCAGGAAAATGACAAAACTGCAGTAAGGGATGTGGACAAAAAATATGCCTAGAGACACAAAGAAGATTTGGACTTCTTGCCTTCCAAGGAAAAGCAGCAGTGATGTCTCTTTGGGAACTGATGGCCCTGCAGCTGCCTCATGCCAAAGACACCAAACTCCAGAGCTCTGGCCCTGATGGAGCAGAACCTCCGAGGCACAGGGCCTGGCCTGGGAGGGGCAAGAGAGCAGCAAGGGCTGCTCACTCGGGGACTTTTTGACTGTATTGTGGTCTGAATTCCCCTCAGGGGTCGGTGCAGCCCTGTGCAGTCCCAGCCCCAGGCTCTGCAGGACCAGCACTCGCTGCTGCCTCTCGCTCTGACTTGCACGAGGAGCCACTGGGGGAACCCAAACGCCCCACTGACCTCAGCAGCATCTAGAACTGAGTCACTGCAGCACCGTGGGGAGGTGCAGAGCCTTGCTCTGCCCTCTGCAGTCACAGGAACGGGACAGTCACAAAGAAACCCCGCTGTGCAGAGCACCCTTTGCCTCTCCAAACCAGCCCAGCCCGTGTCACTGCAGTGACACCCCAAGCTGTGCTCCCTGAGGACAGGGATTTCCCAACTCCTGTCCACCCAACGTGTGTTTTTCAGATGCTGGATGACCATAAGTGTCAGTGGTGCTAACCTGGCAGAGGACAGAAATGTCTCAGGTTACGTAGTTCTCACAAAACAGAGAGAAAACACCAAGAGTTTAAAGAAAAGATCAAAAGAAAGTGATAAGCTATATGCAGAGAGAGTAGATTTTAATCCTGAGTTGATACAGCTGCATCACACTTCTTCCTCTGCTAATCAAAACCCCTCCCTAGGTTATGATGTTCCTGTGCTTCCCCACGAGCTGTCACCCTGTCACTCCAGGGAGCAGAGCTGACAAGGGAAACTCAGCACTCCCCAGCCAAGCACCAGAGCCACAGGATGGAACATGATCTGAAAAATAAGGGAATTCTTCCCAGCCTATTAAACCTCTCTCGAGTGACAGACACAGCAGCAAGATACACAGCCTGAAAGTGAGCACGAACCAGCATTTACATAAAGAGAAAAGAATCTGTGCTCAGGGGAACAATTCCCAATCAGCAGCTTCTACAGGCTGTTCAGAGGGAGAACTGGGGGAGAGAAGATGCTGGAGGATCAGGCACAGCAGCCCAGCCTCCAGCACCAGTCCCCATCCCAACACCACCAGTGCTGTGTTAACCTTCCAGCAGGAGCCACAGCTTAAAACATCAGCTCTCCTCTGCCCCCAGACAAGAGCTTTTTCTCCTTATTATACTGGTAGTCAGGGGTCCTGCATCCCTCATGGAAGCTGATTAATCACTCCCCTGATTAATCGACCAGACCTCAGCCCTGACAGGACTGCTGGAATGCCCTGTGGCCCTGGGTGTTCAAATGGACCTTTCCAGGCTGGTGGTATGGGATGTGCACAGCCAGAGCTCTGCAGGAGCCTGGGACTCTCAGAAACACTGAGAGGAATACAAAACACAACAGTGCAGGTCAGAAAGGAAAATTAAAAGCATTTTGACGGGGAAGGTGTAAGACTAGTGTTAAATAAGGTCTATTTTTAGTGGATTTACAATCAGTCCTGTGAGCTGGAAGCGCAGCTGTGCAACCACAGGTCTCTCTAAGTGGATAAGCTGGTGTGAGATCGCTCTATTTCTGGTGCACCAAGGGCTCCAAGGTGCTGTGGAGGTTCAGACACCTCAGGCACCCACTGCACCTGAGGCCCTGGCCAAGAGACAGGTGAGAAGAGCTGTGTGAAGTGATCCCTTTCACACACGAGGGTGAGGAGATGCACCAGGACACTGCTTTAGAGCCACGGGTCCCTGTGCTGCTTCAGGCAGCCCAGAAACACGGGCAGCTCTTCACCCCTCAGAGCTGGGGGCATCTGAGGGAGGGACTGTGTGAGGTCACCCAGCAGTGCCTCTGCCCTGGGGGCACCTTCCAGGAGCACACCCCCAGCTCCTGCCCCCACGCTGGTGGGAGCAGCCCCCGGGGAGGGCAGCAGCTCCTGCAGGGATGTCCTGCAGCTCTCACTTCAGGCTCCATCACGTGGGGCTGGACCACTACAACTCACACACAAAGATTATGCAAGTTGCTGGGAGACAGATGCTTGTCTGATTAGCTTTCCTCCTGGTGAGGAGCAAGAAAACACTCGGACAGCCAAGCAAATCTTGCTCAGAAGGAGCATCAAGACCTACCCTGAACATCCCCAACACCAGACACGAGTCTCAGCCAGACTCACCCACCCTGTCCCTCTGAACGTTCCCGTGCCCCAGCACTAACCTGGCCCAGCAGAAACAAAACACACACACAGGGGAGAAGCCAAGGAACCGAAACGCCCTGGAGCCCTGGACACCCCTCTCCACACACATCCACAGCCAGGACAATCACCCCCCAGCAGTGAGGAAACCACCACGATCTGCTCCCCTCAGCCAGACTCACCCACCCTGTCCCTCTGAACGTTCCCGTGCCCCAGCACTAACCTGGCCCAGCAGAAACAAAACACACACACAGGGGAGAAGCCAAGGAACCGAAACGCCCTGGAGCCCTGGACACCCCTCTCCACACACATCCACAGCCAGGACAATCACCCCCCAGCAGTGAGGAAACCACCACGATCTGCTCCCACCAGCTCGCCCCCGAGGCCAGGTACGAGCCCTGCAGGACCCTCACGGGCCCCCACGGGCTGGCCACCAAGAGCCAGCAGCTCCGAGGTGCTGCCCAAAGCCAGTGGGACCCGTTGCCAGCCAGTGGCCACCGAGGGCACGCTGGGCAGAGCCACGAGCCCCAACACCTGCACCCAACAAAGCTCCTGAGCAGCTCACACTCGCTGCTGCCTGACAGACACCAAA